GGTAATGACTAAGCAATTCCCCCAAAAGTAGTTCATAAATAATCTTGTGTAGTAAAATACGTTTCCTCTATAGCATTCTTAGGAGAAAAGTGTCACCTCATAGTTAACTAGCTTTATCCATTAAATAATTTAAAAGGAAAACTTTGCAAAGAATTCTTGGGCTGCTTTCTATTTCTGGTTGTATATAATAAGCTATGTAAGAGCGAGTTGCCCATGCAATACAATCTTCAAGGGCAGGGAGTAGTGAAAATGACTCCTCAAATAATAAAAAGCTATTTCTCTCCAGCCTTTGTCAGGAAATATAAAACCTTTCAAAGTTAGCCACAATGCCATATTGATGTAAGCCTAAAAATAGCTGAGGCTAGCAATCATCTAGCCTAGGGATGGGCAACCCACAGTCACCAATCAATCCCCAATGTTATTGTGCCTTCCCCAGAACTCCCTCATCAGTTGCTATTATAATTCAACATCCCAATTTGCCATTCCACTTTGCCAGCACTATTTGCTATTAAAATTAGACACTGAAGAATCTTTAAAATGTTTTTAAGGGTTTTTTGATGTAAATGCTTAGGAAAATTTTTATTTCAGTTATCATGGACTTTTTTTTCCCACTTTGTGCTACCTATCATCCATTCCTTATTTTAAAAAAATAAGTGTTGGAATAACCACCTAAAAAGGACTTTCGGAAGTGGTTTACCATTGCTTTCTTCCTAGGGCTGAGACAGAGTAACTGGTCCAAGGTAACCTAGCTGGCCTCTTCTCTGAGGCAGACTAGAATTCCCAGTTTCTAGTCTGGTGCCTTAACCACTATACCAACCTTCCCTAAAAGCAGGAAATACTTCCCAGCAGTCAAAAACACTTTATACTTCTATAAGATCTAATCCCTTTTTCCTCTTAGAAAATACAGTTACAAACCTGCATTTCCACACAATTACTTCTGCTTACAGATAGACAGATTTTCAAGATCATAGGAATAAATAGTTTTATATTTGGAGGACACTGTCAACTAATTTCCTACTCATGTCTGAAGGCTTCAGGATCTCCTGTACAATTCAGTACTCAAAACTGCCCCCAAAGTATAAATGTTTCTGTCCTGTATAGCAAGATACTTTATCAGTTCTATAAGATTTGTGGTGAAAGAAAACACCAGCCTCCTTGTGAATAAGCCACAGCTCCAGGCTATAAGTGCCCACAGACTCAGTGCTTGCTAGAAGGGTGCTTTGAAGAAAGGGGCAGGTGAAGAAGGTTGAGGGAGACAGCAGATGCCAGAGAATGACAAAGAGAAGCCTGCAGAGGAAGCACCTGCTGGAATTACCCTTATCAGGCCTGCATAAACAGACTCCCCCACCCCTCTATGTTGCTTGGGTGGGACTCATTGCCCATGCAGAGAAGAGAGTTGGTTTCTCATATTGGAAAGCCTTACACAGAGGGAAGGAAGAGGTCAGAGACTACTCAAATAAGGAGTTGCCTATGTGCTCACAGCTGAGGCTGTAAGATGTATTGAGACTGTTGGTGCAAAAGCAGGAGAACAAGCCTCAAACTACTGCTACTGGACCCATTTACTTCCTTGGTTTGATATTTTAGTTTGAGAGTTATTTTGAGTTCTTGGTTTGGACTGCTGAGATTCCAAAGAGTCTGATTTTGTTGATAACCCCTACCCTGAATGCTCAAGGGTCTGGGAAGAAGAGAGTCCAGAGTTTCCTTTCTGTTACTCACTAGTCAGCTCCCTACTTCTCTGTCTACAAGTGTCTGTGCCATACTGGTGGGAGAGGTGGGATGCAGAAGAGGCCTAGTTAGTGGCCCACCCACAAAGTATAAGCATCTGACCCGTGAAAAGAATACTAGAGAGGATCCCTTGGGGTATTAAATTAAGCTATTGTGCATTGGGTGCAGCAGAGCTATGTCCTAAAACCCTAGCTTACTCTAGATTGGTTCAGCAATAATGTCTTGCCATGATAGAAAAGATGCAGCAGTTAAATCAAATCAGGATAATGATTCCTCTGATGAGCCAACCCAAGCACCACTTTTAAAGTGGAATAGATCCTATCACAACCATCCTGCAAGCCGATCGTCTTCCAGTTTGATGGTTTATCAGGTTCATGAGGGGTTTTCTACATTTTACTATGGTTCTTACTTGAATTCCAAAGCCCACTAGCTGGAGTCATCTGCAAAATTGTGAATCAACATTAAGATACATAATTTGAGGATTAAAGTATAATGATATATTTGGGTGTACATTCACATCAGGATTTATTTTCAGTCCTAGAACTGAAGTCACAATCCTCTCTCTCAAATATTCCGGGCTTAGTTTTCATCGCAATTTTTTTACTACCCTGGAAACTTATGTCAGAAAAATTGGGGGGGAAAAACCTTTTCCAGATTTTTTTTAAAGGTTAGAAAACTTTGTGACCTACAATACCCCAGAAATCTATCAGTAGACCCAAATCTACCTGCTACTGCTATAAAGAATTACATCAGTACTGACTGAAACTTGACACAATTCCCACATTAAAAATAATTCCATACAAGTATTGATATGCAATTTATGTGTTGGTTACCATAGAATCATAGACTATATGAGCTGGAAGGGGCATTATAGGCTAGCTAATCCATTGCCTACTCAGTCTAGGAATCTACTGAACCATTCATGACAGGTGGCTATCCAGCCCCATTTGAAAACCTCCAGCAAGAGGGAGTCCATCACTATTCTAGGTAACAACTTTACCTAGAAAAGTGCTTAATGACTTTAACCACCAGGAAATTCCTCCTTATATTCAAATTGAGCCCCTTTTGTTTAATTTCATCCTGTTGGTCCTCCTCTGGTTCATTTTCAACCCCCATAACATCTGGGAAAAAAAAAAAGACTGAACCTGCCTCAAAACAATTGACATCATAATCAAACAACCTGACAAAGGAGGGGCAGTTTTCCTCACTGAATGAGAAATTACTGAACTCGCATACAGCAAAGGATTTCAGGCTATCTCAGAAGGTCTCAACAAATACAATGGGCTTTTAACATATTACAGTTGTTAATTGATAAGATATTTGTTATATGCCATACATGTAACTTGCATCTACATAACCAACCTGTCTTCCCCTCCCTTCATCCCAACCCAATTTAAATCCTACATTGGTCTAGTCACACTGCATCTGATGAAGTGAGTTACAACTCACAAAGGTTTATGCTTTTTAACACAATGTGTTAGTTGGAAACAGTGTTACCAGAGTCTTTCTCATCTTTTGCTACTGTAAAGTAACACCACTCTCCATCTAAAATGTCTACAGTTAGACTGAATTAACCTGTTTTACAAGATAGAGATATTTATGATACTTTGGGTCAGTGGTGTGCTGTTAAATGTTTAAGAACAGGTTCTGCCGGCTCCATGGCTACCGTGCTGCTAGCCCTGGAACAGCTGATTGGCACACTAGGCATCAGGACTCACCTCTGCTGTCAATCAGCATGCAAAATTCCAGGAAATTTAACAACTGGCTCCTGCGAGCCAGTGCAAGCCGGTTCTAGCATACCACTTCTTTGGGTGCAATTGTACAGAAAATCCTAAACCCATCAGATAGTTAATGCTGACTTGAACAGAAAATTCATTGACAATATTCTCTATCCCAGTTTGTCCACAAATATAAAACAATTTATCCTTGTGATTTTGATAGTCCTATCTATCAGCAGAATTAATTGTGTGGGAATGCAAGTTTGTGATTGCGTTTTCTAAGAGGAAAGAAAGTTTAGATATTTTAAAAGTTCTTTATACTGCTGGGAAATAATTTCCTGTTTTTACAGATGCAATATGATTGGCATCTTGTTTTCAAGCCTATCTACCAAGAGAGGGAAAAAAAGGGTTTTGGAACCTGCATGGCATGTCTACTAGTATCCCTAGATACTTCTCATAGGCACTGCTGCCAACCCAGGTCTCCCAGTCCTGAACATATACAGGTAGTCCTTGTTTAATGACCATCCATTCAGCAACCATTCAAAGTTACAACGGCACTGAATGAATGGTAGTTATGACCAGTCCTCAAAGTTATGGCCATTGCAGCACCCCCACGGTCACATGAACAAAATTCAGGTGCTTGGCAGCCTGCCTGCATTTACTACTGCAGCATGCGCTTCAACTCCCCCATTCCTCGCCCATCTCCGCCTTTTTAGCCAGCCTGCACTCCACTGCCCTCAGTTGACCATCACCATCTTCTTCTCCCCACTACTGACAAGAAACACCCAGCCAAGGCAGCTGCTGGCCCTTCACACAACCTCATGAAGGATCAGCAGCTGCCTCAGCCAGGTGCACATCATCAGCAGTGGGGGGAAGAAGACAGCAAAAGTCAGCTGGGGGTGGCAGGGGTAGATGGTGGCTGAGTGCAGGGGGAGACAAGTGGGTGGGGGGAGCTGAAGAGGAGGTGAGCACAACAGGGCAGGAGAAGTGTGAGGTCCTCACTTAATGATGGTGCAGTCTTCACCTAACGACTGCAACCAGAACTGCCCTTGCTAAGCAGTGCAGTCATGTGATGTTTCACCTAACAATCACTTCACTTACCAATGGAAATTTTGGTTCCAACTAGGCTTGTTAAGTGAGGACTACTTGTAGATTTGGATTTTCCTAACTAGATGCACATCTTTATTCTTATCAAAATTGAATAACATTCTGTTGGATTTAGTCCAGTTCATTTTGAATTCTGATTTTGTTTTCTAAAGTACAGTATTAGCCAATCTAATTTGGCATCATCTACATATCTGAACATCATCTACATGTCTGAATATGCAGCAAAACCCTTGTATGTGCATATATAAAAGTAAAAGATAACCTCTTCTATGTAGAAATTATTTCATGCAAGCATTTTATTGCATTTAATGCAATTTTAATGCAAAATATCCAATAAATTTGTCATTATTCAAATATTTTGATTAAATATTTCTGTCCTTCTCTCACAGAATAGCACTATTACTTTCTAAGATTAGCTCAGTTCAATAAATAGCATTAAGTAATTCCAACCTGTTTCTCTTTTAGCAAGTGAAGTTGTTGAACAGCTTGGTCTCTCTCAAGGGTTACAGCAGACAAAAGCAGCTCTAATCCATGCAATTTCTCTTCCTTTTCTTTTAGTGAAGCAATAGCCTATAAAACAGTTAAAGCAACTTGAGAAGAGTTTCAGAAAAAAAAAATAACTCTTGTCTTCTTGTACATTTGATATCCAGTTACATACACAAAATTTAATCTTTGGAATAAAATTAAATTCAGTGCAAAATACTACAGAAAGGCATATACAGGAACACACATAAATGAATCAGAAGGAGTCTTTTCTATTTAACAATAGAATTTTAACAGGTTTTTATCTAGGAGGCAATTAGCATCTCTTTTCAACAGATTATACCTTCTACTTTGCATGAGGTGATGGTACGCCCCCTCCTGAAGAGGCTCTCCCATTCCCTGGCCAATTTCTATAGGCATTGCCCAGTATCCAACATTTCCTTTTTAAGAAAAGTTGTTAAGAGAGTAGAGGAACTTCAACTCTAGACCATCCTAGAGAAAGTGAATTATCTGGATCCTTTTCCGTCAGGATTCAGGCCTGGACGTGGGACAGAAACCACACTGATTGGCCTAATAGATAACCTTTGTCAAGACTTGGATAGGGGAGCATACTTCACAATGCTTGATTGCTTTTGATACCACTGAACATGGTATCCCTCTGGACAGCTGGTGAAAGTTGGGAGGCAGAAGTACTGTTTTGCAGCAGTCCCATTCCTTTCTAAGTGGGTGGTCCCAATCTGTGGTGGTGCGGGGATAAAGGATGTATATTGTACATACTTGCTCCCTTATGGAGTGTTGCAAGGTTTGTAACTTTCCCCCCTGCTATATAGCGTCTACATGAAGCTATAGGATCATCCATGGGGTGCAATATAATCCATATTGATGATATGCCAATTATACATCTCCATCCTGAGCTGAGCTAGAGATACAGTGGAAGTCTTGACCTGGCATCTGAATGCTGTCAGGTTCTGGATAGGATGGGAAGAAATAAGCTGAAAATGGAATCCCTGAAAGACAGAGGTGCTGTTGTCCAGAAAGCATCTGATATTTTGCTTGCTCCAGTGAAAATTTTGGACAGGGAAGCAAAGATTCTTTCTCCTACACTCATCCTGACATCCTAGATTCATGTTTACTGCTAAGTAGGAAGGTGGAGATTGTGGCTAAGGGGTTTTGCCCAGCTTTGGCTAGTGGACCTATTTCAGGCCTTTCTAGAGCATAATGCCCTGGTGAATTCCAGAGTGAAGTCAAAACAGCTTTTCCACAGTTTAATTTATGATGAATAATGCAGGTGTTGCTTATTCTGATGCTGGATTATGCAGTCAGTGTACGGTTTTATGTTTTTTATGGATTTTATGATTCACTCTTTTATAAAGTACTAGGAGTTTTAAAATGTTAATAATTTAATTTTACTTAATTAAATTTAATTTAGTCAATTTAGGCACCACGTGACTACAGATAATGCTGAGTAGTTCTCAATGTAAAAATAAACTAACAAAAAATAAACCCAGAATCTGACATCACCACTATACTTTCAGATGTTCAGCACACAACCATGGAAATGGCTCACTGTCAGTAGCTATTGCTTCTCAAGTTCCAACATCTATCTGACTTTGGACCCTGTTTTTGACAGAATGTAGGTGGAAAGAAAAATAATTGTTCCTGGCATGCTCTGTCTTGCTACTTGAAAGCTGTAACCAACTAAGCTGCAATTTTCTCTAACTGGTATCTAAATGACACCAGAGAGTAAATGTTCTACTCACATCTGTAGACAATCTTCCTAGGAAGAGCTTTCAAATCTTAAATTGAAATCTAGCAGTGCTGCTAATACAACTGTGCCGAAATTATTAAAAATAAATCACCTGTTATGGGTCAGGACAGACTGAACAAATTACAGTAAGAGAGCATTAATCCTGTCAATAAGATGGAACATCTCATGTATTTGTTAGAAGCATAGAAGCAATAAACCAAAAGCATCAAATACTCCATCATGAAACTCTGAAGCAATAAACCAAAAGCATCAAATACTCTGCTAATACCCTCTGCTAAGCTGCTAGAAATGCTGACCTGGTCCCTAGCTGTTGACAGGCTCTGTATCAGAGCCTCCGATTTGTGATATTGATTCCTTTCAGCATTCTCACAACGTCGCTGCCATTCCAGCTCTCCTTGCACTTTAGCTCTTTCCAAATGCTCTTCTTTCTCTATTGCTAGTGAAAGCTGTTGCTTATATCTAATATAGGAGAAAGAAAGGAAATTACTTAAATGTTAATTCAGGAGAGAAGAGAGTCAATGTGTACAATGCTATAAAAATGATGCAATTTTTTTAACCCTTTACAACTGATGTGCACTAATACATATTATTCCAGCCTAGTAGCAACTGGACTTGCAAAGTGAAAGATAATGACTTAAATATTTTTGCAAATAAGCTAAACTTTCAAAACAGAAATGACAAGACAAAATATAAAACATTCATACAGATAAAATATGGAAGACCATGAAAAGCTTTCTTCAGCAAAGATACAGCACTGCAGTGAAACAAAAGAAAAAGAATCTGACCTGAGAAAAGAAGAATGCATTCATGTAAAGTTAAAAGAGTATATAAAAATGTAAAAGTTCAATAAGAGGCTTGAAGTTTGTCTTCTGCCTGGGCAAAATAGCAATTTATTTGCATGTTGCACTGCCTCTCCTCTGTGTAGACTCAAAGTGGTTCACATGGTTTCTTCTACCCATCCATCATTATATCATCACAGCAGTTCTATGATACCACTTAGGCTGAAGTGCAGTGAGTCGTCCAAAGTTATCCTGCATATTTCATAGCTCAATATGATTAAGAACCTGGGTTTACTCAAACCTAGACTGACTCTCTATCCCAAATGCCACAGCTACTCCCACTGGCCTTCTGGATGCCCTTACTCACCCTTGATGACATCATCATCCAAGTGATTCCCCATTTTAATATCCTAGCACTTAGCCAACTCTTGATTAATTGTGTTCATGGCATATATGAAGTTTTCTGAGGCTGACTAGCTTATGGCAACCAGCATGCTCAGCATAACTTTCTTTGACCTTAAAACTTTGTTCTTTTGAGAGAAAAACATCAGAATGATAAAGCAGAGCATGACATAATGAAAGTAGTAAATCCTAGCATTCTCATTCTATCTCTTGAGTTCTCTGGCCACATAGCATAAATTGCTAAAGTGGTCAGATTGTGTGTCTGGCTCTCTTCCCTCTTTCTACTTTAACGGATCAGTAGCCTTTTAGATGGAAGATCAGAACCACCTGTGTAGCCTGACATGAGTATAACTGGGTCATAACTGCTAGAGCTTCTCTTAGATTCCCAGGCTTTGTCTTCTAACAGCAAAGTGAAAGCATAGAACCAGCAGTAATGTGCTTGGCTACCAAAACATAAATGACCCACCTCACTCATTCTGCCTACCTTCTGGCCTTGAGTAAGGACAGTAAGGGCAGAATCACCTAATTTAAAGGGGAAATTCTGCTCCAACAAAATAGTAGAGGACTGTTTTAACAGCAGAGAACCTTTCAACAGTAAATGGTTTTGGGGGTAGGAGATAACCTTTTTCTCAGTTGTCTGCAACCTATTCCTCTGTCTTCTAAAGAATAATGTGCTTTATAATATAGTTATAGTAAAGTATAATGAAACTAAGCTAGCCCCCATCTGCAAAATCTTATCCCTACATTTGTATTGCTTGCACAGAATCGTATTTCTTCATCACGATACAACCTGACATAACATTGTATCAGAAAATCTCTGATTATACTGGGAAAATACCCTGTAACTCAAGAATTGGATTGCTCTGGTCAGGTCACAATAACTATGGCTGAAAAGAAGCAAATATCATGAACTGGTGTTCTTGCTGCTAACATATAGAAAAGAAACAAAATTCAGCGACTTGGAAAAAATAGCTTCAGTAATCAAAGTCAAGTTTTCTTCTTTAACCAGCAAGATAAGCTCTTTTTTGGCAGTACAGTTGTATTGCTATTATCTAATAAGTACAGACATTGGTATTGTGAAAGTTACATTCAAAGGCTGAAAGATGGTTGGTGTAAAGTAGGTTTGGGAAGCCATGTCTCTGGATATTTTGCATAATCTGATTTTTTGTTGGTTTCCATTATTTTTATTCTGGTTTGGCTATCTTATTGGTTTTCTTTTTTTTAAAAAAATAGGTTTTTTAATTGTATACCACCCAGAGTTGGTATAGTTGGGCTGTTCTACAAATTTGGTTGATTAATTAACTAGCTAAATCCAGCAGCTGCCGGAGGCCATCCAGTGATGTGGTAACATTACTGGAAGAGATGGAACTGAGTTATTTGGCTCTTTTTTGGCATATTTTTGAGTCCTTTAAGGGTGAGAGTAGGATGCCTCTGACAGCACAAGCTGTGTTGCCCTTAAACGTCCCCCCAAACCTGCAAAAGGAGTCAATGCTACATTTTCCTATGTGTTAATACATAGGAATGGAAGCCATCCCCCCCGCCCCCCGAGTCCTCTCATTTGATTTGAAAAATGCCACTTGCAGGATCCTTTTGCAGAGGGTTACAGTTGGGAAGGGAATAGGAAGCCTCTGGCAAACCGTTTCCATTACCATCCTTAATTCTTAAGGGAAAAAAATGGTACTGCTGAAATTCATCCATTTTGTCACCAAGATTCAGTGTGGCAATGTCAAGGTACTGGGAGATAGGAAATGGGATACTGGGGGCAGAAGCATCCATGCGGGGTAAAAAATGGTAAGCTAGCAGGCCTATCCCTTTTTAACATGCATCATCACATACACATAAAATAGGGTTAGACTGTATGGTTGCGCCTTCCATCTTGACTTTTTTTAACCTGCTTGCACGCACCCCTCCTGGGAGCACATGCAGGTCACAGGCTGCCTACTAGTGGCTTAATCTAAGATTAATTATGAATAAAAACTTTGAAAAATTAAGGGTTTAATAATCAAAATAATTCACCTTTCAGTATCTTGATTCAAGGCAATCACTTCTGCTCTCAGCTTTACTACTTCTTCTTGCTGTGCTTGAATCTGCAGATTCTTTAAAACTGTCTCCTTGGATATCTGAGCTACTTGAGAATCCCAGTTTGTTTTCAGTTCTTCTAGTTCATGTTCAAGTCTTCAAAAATAAACAGGTCAAATTTAACCTCCTTAATCATTTCCTTTTATTTTAAAGAAAACAAGCAATTATCTCATTTTTCTAAGTGGACAGTCAAAGCATCATGAAAATTAGCAATCTTAAAGTGAAATATTTACATAACATTAAAATTATATGATGCAATATCATGCATATACAATAGTTTTGGATTCATTTAAATTTCAGATAGATGTAATAGACCCTTAGTACAATATAAATACAACTAGGAGGAAATAGTTACCATTTAGGTACATTCTCTCTATATAAAGACTGTAATATCCTCTATGTTACTAACATGAATTGGTTCCTAGGTCCAAAATACAATCTATGAGGAGATGATTCTGATTTTTATCTAAGTAAATCTACAATTTTAGATAATATTCATTGTTAGTTGTCTTTTACCAAGACTTGCAGAGAATAATAAAGAAAAGATCAAATATCTTGTTGCACAAACCCAGTCAATACCCAATTTAGATTCTAAGTAGATTCTATGAACCACAGAAAGATTAATTAGGTCAAAGCATCTTAAAATGTAGATGCATTCAAGAAAACTCCTGGCCTACAATGTTGGCATCAGAATATTGATTCTCCAATGCTTGTTAAAATGGATTCTAATAATCAAAAAGATAGTGAGATCATATATAATCCACACTAACATTTTAAAGAGTTAGGTACTTTAAATTAGGTCTTTTTAGCTACATACTTGTCATGTTTATTAAGAGAAGAAAGTAAACAGCAGAATCCCTGGTGCTCTCTGAGCTTGGTTGTTTGCTTGCAGATGTTTCATTACCCAACAACGTAACATCATCAGTGTTAGTGAGTGTGAGGTTTGCTCCCTGTTTATATACAGTAGCTTGCCCTGCCAGTGTTGGTGGGGGTGTGGTTTTCTTCTTGGTAGTTTCTTGATTAGGGTATTGTTTTCTGCTTGTTTGTCTGGTGTTAATCTCTGCTTATCTGGATGTAGGCTGCTGGAGAGGATGTGTTCTGGTCTTTTTGTTTCCTTCTTACAATTTTTTATTGTTTCTTTTGAATAGTATGTAAATATGGTTTATTTCTATGTGTTTATCGATGGCTGATTTGTCTGAATGCTAAGCTTCCAAGAATTGCCTAGTGTTTTTGGATTTAATTTGGTCTAGGATACTCCCAGTTTCCCAGCTGAAACTATGGTTGAGTCTGTTCATGTATTGTGAGATTAAGGAGTTTTCATCACGTCTTCTGACTGCTAGTTGGTGTTCATGGATGCGTTCTACTAGTCTTCTGCCTGTCTGTCCTACATAGCAGCTGTTACAGTCCTTACACTGTATGTTATAGATGATGCCTGTTTTTTCTTCTTGGGCTACTGGGTCTTTTGGTTTACTTAAGATGTTTTGGAGGGCTTTAGTTGGTTTGTGTGCTACAGTGATCCCATGTGGTTGTAATAGTCTGTTGGTTGTTTCTAAGATGTTTTTGATATATGGTGATGATGCCTGTTTTTTCTTCTTGGGCTACTGGGTCTTTTGGTTTACTTAAGATGTTTTGGAGGGCTTTAGTTGGTTTGTGTGCTACAGTGATCCCATGTGGTTGTAATAGTCTGTTGGTTGTTTCTAAGATGTTTTTGATATATGGTAATATTATTCTTTTCATTGCTTGTGTTGGTTGTGCTGTAGTGGGTTGAGTGGTCAGGCATTTTTTGATCAATTTGATTGTTTCATGTTTCTTCTCTAGTTTTTTTTTTAATTATTAGGAAGGTGTCATCTACATACCAGATCCATACTTTTCGTTGTATGTGTGGGAGTACTATAGTTTCTAGATGCTGCATTATAGTCTCTGGTATGAGTCCTGAGAGTGGTGATCCTATGGGTATTTCTCTGATTTGTTGGTATATTTGTCCGTCAAACTGAAAGTAGGTAGTGAGGCACAGTTCAACCCTGAGCTACATATATTCTCTTATATAGGAAAGTAAACATATTGATGGACATTTGATGCATATTCACAATTCGTTCCAGAGGTAGAGAAAAATGTAATAGCTTGGTAATAGAAGAAATTGTAATATATGAAATTCAGTAATTAAAAATGCCAACTAATGCATATTGGGACAAAATATTTAATGCGTTTTGAATTCATGAATTAATAAATAAATAAATAACGTGTTCTGAATTAGGTGTAGCTATTAGAAAAAATGTTGCAAAGATTATTAAAAATATTATGTCAGGGAAATTAAAATTAAATGACAAGTGGTAGAAGGATTTCTCAGGAAAAGGAAAGAAATCAAAGCAGCAAGAAATAATTATGCAGGTATGCAATCACATCCAGATACTGCATGAACATCCTCTTTGTCCACTCCAACACAGATGTATAATATCTGGAGAAGATATATGAACAGCCAATTAAACCATTTGGAATTGAAATGGCACGTAAGGCTCTGCAGTGCTTTGGATTTGATATCAAAGAGATGCATTGGAGTGTACAAGAGCATGAATGCAACACCTTATGGTCACTCATAAAGCAGCTGTATCTGTTTTCAGGATTGTGTGGCTACTGTGGAAGCAGATCCTGAAAAAAGACTTGCTTTAATGATTGACCAGTGAGTGCTGTATTCATGCTCCCATCTCATTTCAGAATAAAATCCAAAGTACTGCGCAGCCATAGTAGCTCATAATCATTAAAAGGTAAACCTTTAGAATCTTAAAGCCAAATAGTATAGCCATTTCAAAAGAGCGTTAGACAAATTTCTATAATATATAGGTTAAGGCTATCAATGGCTATATACTACATGCATCTGATTATCAGTCCTAGGGAAGAAAAAAACTGGAGAGGGCTATTACCCTCATGTTTTGCTTGTGGGCTTCCCAATAGATATCCTCTGACGGTTACTGTGAGAGAAATAACAACAAGATGCAGACTAAATAAATGTTGGTATGATCCAGCAAGATTCTTATGTTCTTTTTGTATGTTTTAATTATGTTACGTAACAGAATCATAAGAGGCTTTAAAATTGTGAGTAGTGGCGAGGCAGTGAATATAAATCAATTATTCCAATTCACATGAGGTGAAGCTCTTGATTTTATTGCCACAAAAAGCTACATCATCAAGCATATTTGAAAGCATATTTTAGATAAACAAATGTGTTGATCAGACCACACTTATTTTGGGGTTGAGTTCTGGGCACTACATTTTAAGCAGCACATTGACAAACTGGACCATGTCCGCAGGAGAGCAATCAGAATTTGAAGGGGGCTTGGAAGGAAAAATGTATGAGTAATGATTGGAGGTGCTAGGTATGTTTCAGAGAAGAGAAGGTTGCAGGGACAGACAACAGCTATCTTCAAGTATCTGAAGGAGCAACATACAGTAGATGGTGCAAAATTGTTCAGAGTACTTCTAGAAGACAGGACAAGAAACAATGGCTTCATATTACAAGGAAACAGATTACTGTATGACATCAGAAAAAATATCCTAATGGTAAGAGATGTTCAACCACCTCAGGAAGTAGTGGATGCTCCTTCATTGGAGGTTTTTGTTTCGGCTGAATAGTCACCTGTCAGGGATGCTATAATAGTGAATTCCCACACAGGGCAGGGGGTTGGACAAGATGATCTCAAAGGTCCCTTCCAATCTTTACATCAATTATTCTGAATTAAATTATCAATGCACCTATCAAAAACTACTGTTGAAAACTACTGGATGTCTTGACATTAAGATTTAACAATCACCTTTGTACTAGAATGCTTTTGTGTTCCAAGATAGCCTTTCTTCACATAGAAAACTGAATCTAAAACTTTAGGATGTCTTATTAGTTAATAGTTTTAGAGTAACCATTATGCAAACCATTTTTGTTCCAGACAGCTGATGCTTTCTGTCTGATCAGTGAACTAATGCTGTCTCTCCAGGACATTTAGCATGTCCTGTTTTAGGGAACAGGATTTGGTTTCCCTCTGAACTATAATTAGTAAAACTATACAGACACTGGGTTTTCAAAACAACTTAGTATTGCTTACAGCAGACTTACATCTACTGCCCTACTTGTATCTTATTTAGTGGGTGACCTTGGAGAAATCCCTTCACTTCTGGTATTTTTTTAAAATTCTAATTAAAAAATATACACTTCAAATTTGTAAGAACATTTGATTTGACCGACTTGATCTTCTAGAACACAGTTCTGCCTTGGACAGTGATCAGGAGTTACAGAGTATACAATTAACAATAGTCAGCAATTTATTTTATTTAGAACTCATTATTGAAACACGTATGCTGTGATATTATAACCAAGAAACTTTAGTGAAATAAGGGTGTACCGAAATCCAAATGAATCAAGACCACTCCATCTTACTTATATTACCACTGATAGAGCTATCTTCTACTGATGGAGTTGCCAAAGCAGGGTCTACAGACATCTCTGTACCTGGGCCCCTGAGCCATTGTAAAGTTATATCCCCCAATACAATAGAGCAAAGCAGGATCTTTATTGACTTGATCTGGGACAAAACCTTTCTCCTGCCAAAGATCTATTGCAGGATATGGAAGACCAGAGTCTCTATTACTATAGGGATCCTTACAGAGGGAAATCATATATCAGCAGGCAAGGATTTTTCTTCAGTGGAAGACTATACTGTACAGCTAGTCCCCAGTTTAAGAACTGGTTCCATTCCCAAGGTTTGTCCTTAAGTCAAATTTGTATGTAAGCTGGAACAGTATTGTATATACTTGGACCACTGTGTACTTAACTCGAATCATTGTGTATTTAACTCGAATTTTGCTATGATAGGCTCCATTCTTAACTATGGGTCATCTGTAAACCGGGCGTTCTTAATCCGGGGACTACCTGTACATATCCTTAGGGGGTAGGCCGTTTCCTACACTCTCCAGCTCATTTTTGGTAAAGGATTTTTTCCTCTTTGATATAAATCTATGGAGTAAATCACTCTATGTTGTGTGGGGAGGAAGGGGAAGAAACCCTTCAGTGATAAAACTAAGGAGGAAGTACTTGCCCACTCCCCACTGGGAACCTCTACAATAACAGTCTTTGGTGGGCATGATCTTCCATTTCCCAGTTTTTATCAGAAAAGAATCTGCTTCCAAGTTAACTAAGCTATTTTTTAGTCTATCAAGCAAGAGAGGTAAAGCCTGTCTTCTTAGTCACTTCTATATGCTTATCTGTGCCTACTTCCCTTTCTATGTTCTGCAACCCTCCCCTACCTTTGTCTATTCCACTCTGTGGTGTTTCTATCATCTCTTTCAGGATATCTGTCCTATTTGTCCCATCTGTGTTTATGCCTTCTGTATTTTGCCTGTCCTCCGTATGTGACCCTACTACAGAATTTGTTTCTCATGGAGTTGATGTCTCTGTCCCTCTCTTACACATTTGAGAAAGACAAACATACAGAGTAAGAAAATGCCCAATTTTCTGTAATAAGACACACTCACAGGACAGCTAGCCCCAACAAAATACTTCTGCCTATGACGCTTTCTAAAAATGCTAAAATGACGTAGGTTCCCCAAAACCTATACCCTTGTTCTGTTATTGGGAATCTTCTTTTAAAGCCACTGTTATACTTTTGGACTTCACAGTAGCTTAAGACAAATAATTTAATCATACTACAGTCATGTGAAAAAGAAAGTAGACCCTCTTTGAGTTCTATGGTTTTACGTATCAGGACATAATACAAATCATCTGGTTCTTAGCAGT